GATATTCTTCCTTCATAATCTGCCAACAAAGATAGTTTGGTCTTTTGATACAAAGAGAAGAAATTATGCTGGAAGTTATTTTCCAGAATTCTCATAACTAATCATATCCGCCCATATTCATTATCCTAGCCATACCCGTTCTTCCCTCTACTACACATCCCACTGCTCATCAATACAGCACATAGACAGATAAATCAAGAAAAGCAGCTTCTGGAAGTTATTTTCCAGGACAGCAAAACTATCCATCTGTTTCTCAAAAATTTTCTAACACTCGCAATGCTTCATAAAAATACAACATAAAAACCTACAAATAACACCGTTATGCAGCACATACACCTATCTAATAAACTCATAAGCAACACATGTAATACTACACGTTCAACATATCTACTAATTACACAATGTTTTCTTCCTTCTCTAATAAACCTTATCAAAAGGTGTTATTTTTCTAGTTATCTTCCTAAGACCTTCCAAATGCTCTAGCAATCACCATAATTTTGTTTTATTTAAAAGTAAACTGCTCACAGATTTTCTGAAAGTTCTAGAAAATTCAAAATCGTAGAAATGCTCTAAGAAATCAATATTCCCCTCAGCAGCAAGATTGCATAACCCTATAAAGCATATTTACAAAATAGCAGCAAATTTGAGAAACTGGAATTGCACAATGAACTAGTTCTACCACCTACTTGATATTGCGGAGAGAAAGCTAAATCTATTACTCTGAATGTCTTAAACTCACCCTTGACTACATGTTTATGGCCACTGACAGTTACTTGCTCCTTTGTAGCCATGAAAACCCATTGTAAATGCAAGGATTAAAACAATGAGAACAGAGCGAACAACCATCCAAAGTATTCATCAAATACCTGAAGGTATATTGCAGACTCATTAATGGCCAAAATAGCTACTAAGAAGCCACATAAGATTGGCTCCAACAAGATAGGTATGCACTCTGCAACTGAGAGATGTCTTCCCAACAGTAGCTGAGAGACCCATCTCCATTTATGCTTCGGCACCCACTAGTGATGAAGCATGGTTCTGGTAGCAGATGTGGGAGTAGTTTTAATTTAAATTTTTTTCTATTACTATAATTTAAGCAGCATTAGAATTTTATTTGTCGTTCTAATTCTTTTACAGCAGTTTTCTATTCAATGTTCTAATTTTTTGAAGTTTCTAAGAGGATTTCCAATCATAATTAAATTATGACTGAATTCAAGCCTAAAATACTGTAATGCCTTTCGTGATAAATAGAGAAGAGTTATACTAAGAGAATATCTTCAAATAATTTATTTTGCTTGATGCTATCAACCTCTTCTTCAGTTTGATCTGCAGCACTCCTACTTATTAAATCCTAATTCCCAATCCATTTGGGTGATTCAAAAATGTCCAGGTGCAATTTGAAGCTTTAACCTTACCCCTCCGTAGTTAGATTACCCCTGTTGTCTGACATCAATAGACCACTAATTGACATTTCCTCACATAGTTAACACATTTACTCTTGCACAATCCATACATAGACTAGTACATATAACAATAACCATTGCAATTATTGTTTAACAGCCTCACATTCCTCGACTTGCTTCGAGTTGGCCTAACATTGCTAAGAGTTTACTTCTCACTGAAATCAATCACAATAACAAAACATAATTAACATGTATCTCCCAGTCACGATGGCAATAGAACAGCGGCATGTGATGTTCCAACAGGATAAAAATAAGTTAAATGTAATGTGCACCTAAATACATGAATCACCATAACATATACTAGTTATAGTATATCATGAACTATCATGAGATTCATAGATATAAGCAACCTAGAAATACTACGCATAACCAACATCTAATGTATCAAAACATTTTAAATGAATTTCAACATGTATGATTTGTTTTTCATAAGGAAATATCACTGTGCTTCAGTAAAAAGTCCACAGAAATACCTCACAGAGAATACAACTAGTTGCTTTTTGCCCTGAAAACTTTTCAAGTGCCCGTTAAGGCGAACATACATGCCATCTCTGTTTCACCATAAATTGAAGAATGTTAATAGAAACCTCTGATTGTTACAGTTTTACATCTGACAATCTTGCAAAAATGTGTTAATGCAAAGAGCAGCCAACTTACTGTATAATCTCCATTTCATTCGTTTCAAAAGCTTCATTCACCCTGTTAATCAAAACTTGGAAGACTAAAATTTAGACATGAGAAAAACAAAACGCATTATTCAGCTCACATATCTAAAACTATTTTTAGATTTCATATCAAAATCAACATACATTTTAAATAAAAAACAAGAAGAAAGGAGCCATTTAGGAATTATGACCATCATTATCATATGTAGTTGCATTTATATACATATACAAATATTACCATCTTCGACATTCAATCCTTCCTGTCCCATCATCCAAAGTAAAACTAACTTCAGTAAACTTCTTATCATCCTTGTCAAATACCATCCCAACCAGCGTAACCTGAACCAAGAAAATATTTCAAATGGCCCATTAAAAAGTTAAACGGCGGAGAGGTAATCAAGAATAGAGCTACAGTGGGGGGAATGGAGCAACTACTTCAAGAAAATTTTTTTATATTTCCTTTTTGTTTTGACCCCATTAAATGTGCAAAAATAAATAGCAAAAGTCACCGTTACAAGAACAATTAAATAAAATCCAGAAGTATGTGCTTCTTTTGTTTTTTTTCTTAAGTTCATTTTCATTTACAATGTTACAACTTGAAGACATCTGTGTATATATAGATACAAATTCTACATCCATCCTTGGAGGAAATGCAATGTAATCACAACTTCTCAAGAGGCTTTATCTTGATGGATGTAATATCAGGCAAACCTATAAACATTGGCGTCACATTTGGTAAAAGAATGAACCTCAGTTTCTGAAAGCAAATCACTTTGCAGATACTTCCTTGAGGAAATATTGCGCCAAACTTCATTGTGGTAAATTATTAAACAGTGAACTTAACAAAAGAAAATATATGACAAAACAAAATGAACCATTAGAAAAATTATTGAAATGCAGGAAAAATGGAACATATAATGAGTAAAATTTCAGCCCAAATGCCTATAATAAGCATGCATTTTAAATGCTAAGAAGTATGAACATGCACCATTATAGATCATATTGACTTATGCATATGCTCATCATGTTTTGCAACATAAAAAAAAAAAATGTAAAAGAAACTAAGAATTAATTAATCTTCAAATCAGAATAGCAAAACTGTAAAAGAATCGAGAACTATTACGTTGGTAACTTCGACTCCGTTGATAACAAAGCTTGATTTCTCGCTAGCAGAATGAGAAGCTTCACTTATCTGCTTCACAGTCACCGGGATCAGGCCCTGTGAATCACGATTCTGCATCCATAAAAATGCAAAACAAAGTCAAAGCTTAGCTCTCGTTTGGTCACCAATACCGCTTCTATCTTGTATTCTTCTCGCAATTAACATAGAATACCAGAAACATGACACGTCCAACATTATCGAAGAAACAGGAAAGGGAGAGAAAAGGACGAACACGAGAGAACATTCAAATTTAACCATATCATCAACCTCGCGGAAAAGAAGGAATAGCATTGAACTTTAGCAGCAAATACACCGATATGATTGTTTTACGAGCTCAATAACGATTCTCGACTCGAATTAAGCAATAAACGAAAACAAACTCACTTCTCTCTCATATATATTTGTACAATTTCCCGGTAGGTAAAAGGAAAAGTACAATTATATTAAATATGACTGACCTTTGCCGGGGAAGGAGTGGAATCCAAAAGCTGAGAGAACTGAGATGGCATGAATCCGCCGCCTGAAAAGGCATTACCGGCTTCGAATTGGCTGCTTGAGA